GATAAGTGAAATAACTCTCTGGCTTCCATCATTAAGTGCTTGCTTGCATGGTACCCAGAGAATGTGTGTACCAAGCTTTGTTCTTTTCTTATTTTAATTGTACATGATGATGAATGATTAGGGATCAAAGTCTATACTAGTCTTACCTCATCAATTCTGTAAAACTGCTTAGGACAACAACCTGTCAGTTCCATTCTGGCCAGCAAAGCAAAGTAGAAAGAAGAGAACAAACAGGCCATTGACAATAGAAAAGATGCTTTTTCCAAGGGTGGGAGGAAATCTGTTTAAAAAGGACTTTTTTCTTCTTTTAATATATTCTAAGTATTTCATGGACCTTTAATTTTGTTATGTAGCTTTTGGCTTTCTGGACTCTGAAAATGTAAGCTCTTTTCATTATCTGAAACCTATTACAGATTTTACTTTTTGTTAACTTCTTTTAGCATTGGAAGAAGTTAAATTCAAAGGATTTATTTGAGGTAAAAAAGCTGGAGATTTTAGAACTTTTAGTGTTTGTGTATGTCATTACAGTTAACTGAATGTAAAGATGTTGGTATAACCCCCAGAAGGCATTTACATGTTTATATTGCTTGGGATTTGGCGGGGGGGGGGGGGGGCTTCCTTTATCTAAGGATTTTTGTCTTTCAGCAAATTTGGTATACTTTCTTACAGTTTCTTTCTCATTCTATTGTGAGAATAGAATGTTCTGAATTCTCCATAGAACTCTGATTACACTTATATTAGACTTTTCTCATTCTATCCTCCATGACTCTTGACTCTCTTATCTTTATTATCTCTCATTTTCTGAGCTGTTTTACAGAAACAGAAAACAAATTAGTTTGTTTCTTTAGATTAATTTTCCATGTTTCCAATTTTCCCTTTAGTAGTGTCTAATCTTCTTCTTAATGCATCTATTGAAATTTGTTTTGAAATATTTCATTTATTTCTCTAAGTTTCATTTACTTTAAATCTAGCTAACAATATATATATAATCATATATAAACTTTAGATTCTTATTCTTATTTTCAAACATCTTTTTATTTAAATATATTAAACACAATTATTTTCTATTTTTGTCTGATAATTAAAATAACTGAAATATTTGATTCCATTGGTCATTTATTTTTAACCTATAGTGCTTTGATGTATATGTATATGTGTAAATATATATATGTATTTTTTGTACTATAAACTGTTTATTTTCCTTGAAACATTATAAGTGGAAAATCGTGGGCATTTAATAACATAGCATTATGTTATTGATGAATTATATCAATAGAGGTAGCATTATGTCATATATGTCTTTACAATTCTTATAGTCATTAGAGAGGGGGTGTGTTGTGCAGGTACTATTAGCTAAAAAAGATTTAAAATTAAATACTCTACCTGAGGTTTTACAGACCACAGAAGAAAAATAAAATAAAACCAAAAAAGTAACATCTATAATAGCTGGATTTTGATTATTCTCCAAAAAATAAAACACACATACGTGTATTTGCGTGTATATATAATATATGACATATATAATAAATGACACATCTATACATATGTCATATATGTCATATGACACATATCCTATATATCACACGTACGTCGCATGTTACATATATGTCACATATGATGCACATATGACACAAACATGCCACACAACAATGAAGCATATGACATTTGTCACATGTCATAAACGACACATCCATGCCATATGTATGTAAAATATGTGCCATATAATGTCATATACAAAACACATGACAGGCATATACACACGATAGACATACATGTCATACACACATACATGTCACACATGACACATATGACACATATATAACGATTGTCACCTGAAACGTGATGCATTCATGTCACATGCAAAAAACATGACACATACATGATATATACGTGCCACAAAAAAACACGTGGCAATACATGCCACATGTGCCATACATGTGACAAATAAAGCACATACATGTCATGTATAACATACATGACGTTTATAGGGTGCCCATGACACATATCACATACATGTCAAGTATGAAAACATGTATGTGAGGCATGACATGCATGTCACAGGACACACGACACATATATGACACACGCCCGTGACGCATGGCACACATGACGCAGGTGGCACACGAATGACATACATGTCACGTATATGTCACAGGACTCATGAATGTTGTATGATACATACAGGACACATACACATCACTTGCTTGTCATACATGACACATGTGACACATGTGGAACACACGTGACATTGTATATGGCACATGCATGTCACGTGTTACACTTACATGGCACATATATAGCACATACACTTCACATATGTCATAAATGACATTAATAGGGGACCCTCGGAACATATCACATATGTCACAAATGATACACATGACACGTCTGTACATGTCAGTTATGTGACATGACGTCACATATCACATATAACATGCCACATGTGACAACACATCGTATATGACACATGTTGCATACAACAAACGTGACTCATGCATGTCACATATATGATGCGTGTTAGGTGAGGCATATATGGTACTTATATGACACGTTTCACATGTCACATGTTATATAACACATGCATGTCACACAGTCGTCCGATGACATAAAATGCGCGTGCATGTCATGCAAAACACATTACTCAGTTATGACAAATAGACGTCACATAAGTCACACGACAAACACATGCCTTAAAATTCTCACACACGAGACATACAGGCCACGCACGACATGCATGACACATGTCATGTGTGACACATAAGTGTCACATACATGTCATACATGGCACATATATGTCACATGTATGACACAAAATGTCACATGACACATATGGCCAAACAGAACAAATATATGCCTATATTACACATGAATCATGTCACAGATGTATAACACACGCAACACATACACGTCACCTGCATGACACGTGAAACATTCATATCTGTGTCACAGAGGACACAAGAAACACGTATCACAAAAGACACATGTGACACACTTGTCACATACATGTCACACATGACCAATTCATGTCACATATAACACATGTCATATATGAATGCTTGACATATAAGATATGACGCATGTTACCTATAACACATGGAACAAACGCCCCATATTCCTGTTACATATGACATGACACACCACATACAACATAAATGAAACACGTCATATATAACATATTGGTTTGACGTACATGTCACATAACACGTTGCATATGCATGTCACACATGACGTGTGACACATGGATGACACATGATACATAGATGTCATATATGACATATGAAAAGTCACACATGCCCGTCACATGCATGACAAATATGCACATGATCACGTAGGACACAAGTGACACACACATGTCCCTTGCACGTTTTGTATTACACATGCATGACACATGCATGTCACGTCACACATGACATGCATGCCCATGAAACACGTCACACATGACAAACACCACAGATGTATGGTACATATATGCGATATATAACACCTATGACATACATAACACCTCCATGTAACACGTCACATATGACAACTGTGGCTTACAGAACACCTACATGTAACACGTCATATATGACACACGTAAGGCACATGTATGGCGGATACATGTACGACATGCATATTGTATACTTGTCACAGATGGCACATGGATGCCGTGTACATGTTACATGTGACACATACATTACAAGACACATGACATCACATGTGACACAATTCATATGACGTACATGTTACATAAGACTCATGTAACATGTACATGCCTCGTGTGTGTCACATGTGACACAGATGACAAGGATATATGAAACATGTGTAACACACATGGCTCATTTGACACGTTACATGACACATGTGACACTTCACATACACGCCACACATGGCACATACATTTTTACATAAACAGACACCTTATGACATATATTCAACATGCGTCATATGACACATACGTGTCACGTGTATGATACATGACATGTGTGTCACATATGACTCGTTTGTTCTATATGACACACATTTTGTCTATAACACATATGACACACATTTGTCATGTATGACCCATATGACACTTGTATGACACACATCACATGCATGCCACACGTCATATTTCACACCTATGTTACATATGTCACATGACTCCTGTCTTATATATGTCACATAAGATTCATATTTGAATTTTCGTATTTCACATATGAAAAATGACATACTTGTCACGTCTTGTATGACTAATGCATGTCACACATGACATATAACAAATATGTCACGTGACACATACATCTATATGTCATTGTGGCTTATTTGTATCATATGTGACATATATGTGTCACGTGTGACATATGTCATTTTTGTCTTGTCATACAGTATTTCACACATGACCCATATGTCTTATATGACACATGCCACATATGGGCACATATGTAAACCATCTCTATATATTTCCTTCTAACCAATGCCAAGTTCAAGTCAGGCACGTTTTCTCAGAATCTTCTTTTGTTAATTAGTGGACCTCTTTGGGTTCCTACTTTTATGGAGTGGTTCACTTTTAGTGGTCAAGTTGACACTCCACCTTGAATCAGCCTTTTTTCGTTTCTTGCTCTTATGCCTTAGGCATATATTAGACAAAGCTGAAATACTCAGAGTTACAGTCAGGTTTGAAACTCAATTACTTTCGTGGTGTCTAATTTTCACTTCATTTGGAGGAAAACAAAGTTTTAAAGTTTTTATGTAATACTTTAGGTCTTTTCTTTTTTTAATTCAGGAGGATCACCATGTTATTATATAGGAAAATGAGATTACATTTGACAATAGATCAAATAATCTACTTTTCTTCTTAATATAGACATCTGGGCTATATGCAAAGTTGCTGTCTTAATTTGTGAATTAGAAAGAGATCCCTTTGAGACAGCCAAATGACAGAAGGTCCCTGGGGAAATTCTAACCAGCCTCTGTACTGAGGTGAAGCCTCGGGAAGTTCACCATGTTTGCAGCACTGAGGAGCCTGGCCCCTCCCCTTCCTGTGTGGAACTTGGGATTCCAACCGCAGGCGGGAAGCGCTCTAGCTGGCGGCTCTGGCCTTGTGAGGGATACCTAAGTCCCCCCGCCCTCTTTTATTTCCCTTTCACCCAATAAACCCTACTTTACTTACGCTTTAAATCATCTGCGAGCCTAAATTTTCATGGCTGTGGGACAGACAAGAACCTTGTCTTTAGCTGAACTAAGAAAAAGTCCTGCAACATCTTTTGGCGCGCAGTGTCGGGGCACCAGAAGCGGTGAGTGAAATGGAGACTCAGAACCTCTCACTGTTGCTTGAGCTTTTCCTTCCTTTTTTGGGACCAGCCCTTGAGCAGTGGCTCCCGTCCACCCGCCACCCTCTGCCGGGATGGGGAGCATGGCTCAAGGCTCCCGGGGCAGCTGGCTGTCATTTTCCGCCATGAACAAACAGCTGGAGCTTCTCCTTCCCCGCCAAGAGATTCATCTCTATCCACCAGTAATCAAACTTTTCTCCCTGGTGGAGAAACCACTTGCATAAGAGTAAGAGTTTCTTCCCCAGGCATTTTTAAACTGTTTCTTTTCTTTCCCTTTCTCAACCCCATAAGCAAATGAACTTAAAAAAATTTTTTTTTTAATTGTGTAAGATGTTTTGCTAGGCCAGCCCCTGCCCCTAAACACCCAACTATCACTGTTGATATTTTCTGCCAAGATTTGGTTGTGAAATCAAGCCTCCATCTTGCTTTATATCCTGGGGGCCTTGGCCGGTAACCACTTGGCAAAGCTTTTGGCAACCCTGCCATAGGGGATGAGCCCTCTCTGGTTTGATATCTGCATGTTTTCCTAGACCTGTCTTTTAAAGGGCCCCACCGAGCAACTGGGTGTTCTTCTGCCTGTGTGTGTACTGTGTGTGATGTCTGTAAGAAGAGCTCTGATTAAGTTGAACTAAAGAAAGACAAGTGCTTTGATCAGTATTTTGTAAGGGAAGTTAAAAGCTGTGGTACCTTTCAGGTCACGTGACTTTAATCTTTTAGAAATAAAAACAGCCCTAAAGACTGTTAGTAAAATGCAGGTCAGATGCAAGGTTTGCTAAGTGTTTTGAGGTTACAAACTGCTTTTTGGGTTTTGAGAACTATTTGGCTTGCTGGCTTCACAATTGGTAAGGCCTGGGAACATATGGAATTAACCACACCCTTAACTAAGAAGGCAAATCTTGGCTGTAGTTAGCACACAATTAAAGCAACTTTACCAAGTTTTACCTTAAAGTTAAAAATTGCTAGGCTACTAGAAATGGATTTACATACAAGGTGTGTAAAAACAGTAAAATGTGTTTTTTAGTAAAAGATTATAAGAAGACATGGAAATGTAAACTTTTGCCTAGGGTTAAAGAATTGTTTTACATTAAATTAGGAAAGCTGAAGGTTCAAAGAAGTGGTGGAAGAATTGTGGAAATTAATCTTTTAGAAGAGGTTCTCTGTGTGAACATATTGACTAAATTCAAAAACAGGGTATTATATGGTTTTCTGTAAATTGAGCATTGAAATAAAAGCATAACAAGGTTTCCCTAAGGCATTAATCTGTTATTTGGCAATATTTGCAAAGGTTTATAAGAGGTTTTTTCTTCCTTAAAATTTCTGCATCATCATTTTGGCAAAATAGTAACTTATGGTACTCTTGAATTCTATTTTGTAATATCAAGTGTTTGAAACCTCGAACATTTAACAGCCTTCCCAGAATCAAACTTCAGTTTCAAAATTGTCTTCCCTGGTACTTGGCTTTTTGAATACTTCAGAGCATCCCTGAAGTGTCCAGAAAAGAGAGGTAAATAGGATTATTTGACATGTTTAGCTACAAGGGATTGCCAAAATGATGCTCAATTTTTCTTAGGTTATGACTTGGTGAATAATGCTAATATATGTTTCAAAATTGTATGGGATTTCTAAACTTTGAATGTCTGCGTATATGCTTAATTAAGGTTGTGATTAATTATGATTAAGGTTTTTATGTTAAGTTATTATAAACCTCAGAGATAATCAAACTTTTTGTGAATTGTGTTTCTAAGTGGAACTACCCTGGACATGTTATTCACAACAATTGTTGTCTTGTTTTAATTCTTTTCAAAAGTTGGTTTATAATAAGCTATAGGACTGTAACAGGTGCTCTCAAATACAAGCTTCTGATAACTTTGGAAATTGTAACATTGGAATAAAGGAAAATGTACAGGACTCACGAAGAGCTGAAATGTTCATGAATATCAAGCAGAACAACAGTTAGCTAAATGGACTGAACTCAGAAAGCTAAAGAAAACTTTTTGACGTTTGATTAGAATATTGCTGATCCATGTTTTATTTTTCATAGTCAAGGGAACTTATTTGAACTATTTATGGCCTTTAATAATTAAGCAAGGTGTGCCCCTATGATCAAGATTGGGAGTGTGTTTGTTTCTCTCTGCCTGGGTCCTCTAGAATTTGGAAACTATCTGTGAATACGCTTAACTGACGGCAATATAGTTGTTTGCATCAGTGCAATAAGAATCCATTTCCTTTTGCAACAGAATGCAAATGGAAGAATTGGTTATTTTACTAAGGCTTTGATGGGAAGGCATGCTTCCCTTTAAGGAGTCAATATCAGCTTACTAAGGAGTCAATATCAGCTTACAGAACTGATAGAAGCCCAGTGGGGAAACTGGCCTGCTACCCTTGTCTGTGCAGTCCCTGTACAGGGTTCCTGACCTGTGGTCAGTAAGGAATGTCACTTTCTAACAGGTCTAGGAGTTCCCAGTTTATCTTGGGACCTTAAGAAGAGAAGATCCTCCAACTCACAGGTATTTGAGTATACAAACTCATGGTGGGGCTTGGCTTTAAAAAGTCTTATCTGAGATTCCTTGTGGAAGAGAATTAAGAGAATTCCATCAAAGCCAATCCAAAAGCCCTATGTAGAAATAATTATTCTTGCTGTACTTTATGCAAATAATGAGGCCAAGTATAAAACTAAAGTCTATTTAAACAACTCAGTCCTATGATGATTTATTTTTTTAAAAAACATGAGGAATGGAGAGAGAGAAATCATATTTCAAAACTTGTCATTAATTTCTAAGCTCATTACTTGTTTTTCAGTTTTTGCCTACATTTTTAGACTAACCCTGCTTGTTCGTGTGAACCAACCAGCAATCTCTGGTTGCAGCTCAAAAAGAACAAGAGGGATGGTTAATGTAGAAATCCAGATTAATATTTTAGTTCTGAGCAGTTATCCTGCAAATCCTGCCAGGTGATGGAATAAATAGGGTCCCCAATACCCAGAGGTTTCCATTTGGGAAAGTAAAACCAAGGGAGGTAACCAAAGCCAAGCACCATGCACCCAAATCCTAGCAAGCAGAACCATAGCTAGCAGTTAGCTGGGTGTGTCACATGACATCATTTTCTCTCCTTTGTTGGTGGAGGACTCAGTTTCAATTTCACCTTAGCGTTTGGCTTATGATAAGCAGTCCATGCAACCCCTCGAGATACATTTTTTGTTCCAGACTCAATTCCAAGCTTTGGGTCGAAGTCCTAGGAAAATATACTGGATTTGAGGGATCCACAGGCAAATGACAACAGAGGTTAAAAGGCACAGCACAGGTGAATGTGGCTGATTCCTGCTCATTAAGCCAACCCCAAGCTTTGTGTTTCATGGATAAAGGCCACGTTAGTATCCACAGCATAAATGAGGTCTAAGGAATCCAAGGCTACTGACAGCAGGGGAGATAGGGAGTATGTAGGAAGGAGCATATGATTCCCACCCTCTTCACCCCCTTGCTTCTTGGGTGCCAGCTGCTTTGACATTCATGGCAGCACCTGCCAAGATCACTGGAACTCAGGGATGCGAGGATGAAAGAGGGAAAGAGGATGCTCTTCTCTCTCTCCCTCACTTACCTCTGGATATCTGTTATAAAGAGAAGGGAACCAGGGGTGACTGCTCCCCTCTTTCTAGACATGTAGCCATTCATTTTCAGTCTGTACCCCTTTAGAATGCATCATGAAACTCTGGGGCTTCTTTGAAAAAATGCCTTCTTTTTATTCCTTTCTCCTCGGTCCCCTCTTCCCTGATAGGTAATTGTGTCTCTGTACTATGCTGTTTTCAGATACATCTTCCAAACTGAAAAGAGTTAGTTTCCTAAACCTTAAACTTGTTGGCTTAAGATGGGGCCCAGGGGAAGGGAACCCAAAAGCCCAAGCCGGCAAAAGGATAAAAGTTTTTTTTTTTTTTTTTTTTAAAACCAGTCAGGCTTTTGGCCTCCCTCTCCCTGTGCAAACTGGTAAAAGGCCTCGGGATCTTTGAGCTGTCCTTACCCTTCCCCGTGTTTCATTTTAATACTTCTTTTCTGATAACCTGGTTTGTCTCTTCTTGCCTTCAGGCCATCAAACTCCAAACAGTCATGCAATGGAGCCTTTGACGATGGCCCCTTCTTCTGGGAACCGTTAGATAGGCCTCTAAGGGAACTCTGACTGCCGTTTCCCCAAAAACAGTGCCCCCTGTCAGCAGGAAGCAGTTAAAATTAGTGTTCATCCTTATCCTTAATCTAATGGCAGTTAGATGAACTTCTTTAGAGGGGGAATGACAGAGTCCCTGGAGAAACTCCAACCAGCCTGCCCACTGAGGTGGAGCCTCAGGAAGTTCATTACATTTGCAGCAGGGAGGAGCCTGGCCCCTTCTCTTCCTGTGTGGAACCTGGGATTCAAATGGTGGGCGGGAAGTGCTGTAGCGGGGGACTCTGGCCTTGCGAGGGATCCCTGTTTCTCCTTTTCACACAATAAAACCCTGCTTTACTCACCCTTTACACAGTCTGGGAGCCTAAATGTTTGTGGCTGTGGGACGAACAAGAACCCCATTTTTAGCTAAACTAAGGAAAAGTCCTGCAACACCTGGGTGCTAACTTCAGAGGCCATCAATTGGTTAACCAGAGTAATCCTAAAGATCTGGAACTTGTGTTCATAAAACCTGCCCCGATCACCAGCCTCATTACACCAGCATGAAGGGAAATTGTTCTCTCCTTCTTCCTATATAATTTTTAAATCATCTTGGCTGAGATTTCTTCCTGCATGACTTCACTTGATGTAAAAATTAACTTAATTTTCACCTTTTAAAGAAAGTGAAAAGATCAGGGATATTTAAGCCATGACTTTGCCAGTGAAAATTCCATTTCTTCCTAAGTATGACTTTGGTAGAGATACAACCTGAGAAACACCCTTCTTGGAATGAGAAGCAAAATACTGAAATATATTCATTCAGTGGTTTCTTGTCA